AATTATGACTTTCAATATTATAGTTCTTACTACCACACATTGAGTAAAAATACAAAACTGAAAAATAAATTTAACTGAATAAATGGTTTATATCCCATGATCTAAGATATCAATGATAAAATTATAAAATTCTACCACATTTTCCTAATTTTATCAAGTTTATAAAATTGAATTTTATTGTTAATTTTACCATATTATTGCCAAAGTGCTTCGGTAAAAACTACAGAGCATTTTGGTGCTCTCATAGAGCTAGAAACAAGGCAAATTTTATCACATTCTAATAGTGCTGACCATACTTTTTTTTCTTTTCACAGCAGCATTACCTTGATAAACCTCACTTATATACGCATCTTTTTTATCTTTCCTTTTTACTTTCCTTGTCGATGTAAAAAAAAATTTAAACGGATTATTTTTAATCAACTAAGCAATATATGCGCATGAGTAAGATATAAAGATACATTTGTGTTCGAAAGCTGAAATAGATTTCGATGCTCTGTTTTGCAAACGAAATGATTGTAATTTCCAATAAATAAACTTATGTCTTTTAAATCAAGAATCTTGCATAAAGTAGAACAAAAACTTTAATTATATTATAATTTATACTTTAATATAACATTTGGATTTTGTCGGGAAATTTCTTCGCCAATTTTTTGGATTACTATAAAAAGGTTTACAACACTTTTTTTAATAGCACGCATATTTTTCTCGTAATAAAAAATGGTATAAATATATATAAAATTGGTGAAACAAAATATGATACAGAAAAATATCTCCTTTTGAAGATTAGAGTCATTGTCCACAATGGAGTCATTGTTACGTGACTCTTTTGTTTACATTAGGAAAAGAAGCTTCTTAATTGCAAAACACGGTTTGAAGCTTAGAAAAATATAGCATGGTATTTATATTTATTTTTTCATAAAATTGAAATAGAAATCAAAAACAAAAGTTGTTTTTAAAAAAAATTCACGAACTTAAAGAAAAAATAATGATTATTTGAAATATGAAAAAAAATTTGAAGAATACTGAAAGTTAAAATATCATTAAAAACGCATAAATGTTTTAATTAAAAAAATTTAATGCCTTTGAATTAATGCATTACCTTGATAAGTTTCNAGAGAGAGAGAGAGAGAGAGAGAGAGAGAGAGAGAGAGAGAGAGATAGATAGATATCTTGCTATGAATCATGTTTTTTTAGAAATTAGAAACTTTAGAAGGGAACTAAATCTTTATTATGACGAAATACAAATATTTTAGAGTGCAGATTTTATCACTTAAAAGAATAAAAATAAATTATCTTTTTACAATTAAACATAAAGTTATAAGATTTCATTATTTACATTTCAAACATGTTAGCTTGCTATCTTCTCAAAAAAAATAAAGAAAGAATTCCTCCTCTAACTCTTTCACAAAGTTATTGTCATTACTGAATGTTACTCAAACTACTAACTCTTTTTTTTTCATCCCTTTAACTTTTTATTCGCATGAAACTGTTTCTGGTAACAATAAGACCTAACATGATAAATTTACGTCCACAAAACGAAGTCCCATTTCTCAGAATATTTCAGTTATTATTCACTTATCAAACTAACTTCTTCCGCATCCGCGAGCATAAGCAATAAGAGCGTTTATCTCTTTTACGGAATGACCACTATACCTCATCCCTTTTACCCCTTTCACCTCCCCGGAAAAGCACCTTTCTCCGGGATTCATTTTCCTGAAATTTCTTATCTCTCTTATGCTCTGCTGATTTGTGATACGAGAAAGAGATGGAGTCCCTATCTACTCTACAGAAATTTCTATTCTCGGCAGCTAAGCAGAGGATGGCTCTTCTCTGTGCCACTGGTGGGAATTCTTTGAATTGAATTTTCGGTTGGAAAAGGACTTTTGATAACATTAAGGAATAATGCTGCTCATAAACGCTGGAATTTTTCTCTTTAAGTAATTTTTTTTTACCCAGATAACAAAAAGGAGAAAAAAAACACTAGAATTCTTTTTTTAAAATAAGAATCTTATATTTTTCATTTGCTAAAAATTGTTTATTTTTGAAATGCGTTTGTTGTTTATGACTATATAAAATAGTCAAAATCATATAGGAAGTAGATTTAAATATAATAATAAAGATGGTAATTATACTACTTTTAAGTTTTCATTTTCAGCAGCTAAGCAGAGGATGGTTCATTTCTGTGCCACTGGAGGAATGCTTTGAATAGAATTTTTGGTTGGAAAAGGACTTTGGATAACTTTAAAGAATAATGTTTTTCATAAACACCGCAATGTTTCTTTTTAATTGATTTTTTTCATCTCGACGACAAAAAGAAAAACAATAAATTCGCATTCTTTTTCTTAAAAAAATAAATAATAAGAATTGGATGCCTTTTAAAAGCTGAAAATGGTTTATATATGCTGTTTATGACAACAAAAATAGTCATAGTCACATAAAAGTTTATATCAAAGTTACGATAATAAATCTTGTTTGCAATACTGCTTTCAAAATATGATTTTCAGCTACTGAGTAAGGAATGTCTCCTGTTTAAACAGGTAGGATTTTTTAAGAGTTTTTTTTAATTGGAAAAGCACTAATGCTATCAATAAACTCTAAAATTTTTCTCTGTAAGCAATTTCATTACTTTTTTTTTAATAAGAATTTCCTATAAGCAGAAAATAATTTATCCCGAATATCTTTATGCTATATCAGTGTAGTAAATGTAGTGCCATAGAATACTGTTTTCAAGTTCTGGTTTTCAACAGCTTAAAGAGGAGGGCTCCTCCTTGTGCCACTGGCAGAATTTCCCTTACATCTTTTTTTCCATCGAAAAAGGAATATTGCTTACAGTGAAAGCTGGAATTTTCGTTTTGAACAAAATTTTTATATCTTCGGATTTCATATATGAATAAAAGAATAATTTTTATAATAATATCATTTGAGGAAAATATTTTAAGCTGACAATAATAATCCAAATGCCGACTGGCTTGTGCAGGGGTCAGGAAACTGACCGTGCTTTAGAAAGGTTCTGGGCTAGAATCCCGGACATAGCATAGATGTTCCTTCATTCTCTGTACAGCCTGTCCTTAGTATGGGAGCAACGTTGAATGAGTGGCCGACGAATCTGCCGTTCAGACACCTGTATGACGAAAGGTCATTCCCCAGGTGGGTATTGGAGAAAAATAATAATCCAGAAGCACCAAAAAAAAAATTTAATGCCCAATACCATGGTTAAAAAAAAAAAAGGATGTCCTCATAAAGACATCAATTTATGTCGAGAAAGAGATCGATTGATGAGGTTGGTTGACAAAGACCTTAAATGAATAATGGTAGTACCAAGGAGTAAAGTAAATAAGTAGGAAAATAACTTTCTTCGAATTGAATTTTCAGTTAAAATAGAATTGGTAGATCTTGTTATTTTTGTATAAGTAAAGAAGTCAAAGTCACAACTATTTAAAAAAAATTTAAACTACAATAAATATATGAAATATCACTGTAATTCTACTAGGCAGAAGAGGATTTTTTTCCCATTCCAGGTAATTCTTTAAATTTAATGTTCTTTATTTTTTTTACATAAAGAGACATGTGTCTCCTATATAATAAAATAATATAATATATAAAATAAAATATATGTTTGTTCTTTAATAGCTTTCATGTTTGTTCTTTAATAGCTGATTTTAAAGTCAATCAATATTAACGTTAGTTGGAAGTATTTTTTTGATTGCTTGTTAATTGTATGGAATCAAATTAAATATACCAGTTATGCTTAACTATCATAAAAAACTAAAGATGTTTCTCCTATCTAAAATAAAAAGCGTGATTGCTTTTTGGCAACAGCTAATTTTAAATCCGATTTGTGTTAATTTTAGAGCGACAAATGTTTGTTGTGGTTTGTTAATAATGTGAAATCAATTTAAATATACCAGTTATACTTCTCTTTCATTAAGTCCTCATGTTGCTTTCCCTATCTACTATGAAAAATATTTGTTTCATAACTAGCCGAAACCGGTTTTAAAGCCAAACTGTATTAGTTTTAGAGAGAAGAATTCTCTCCGGATAGTTGTCAATAGCTTATATTAGTATTTTAGCTGATAAATAAACAGTATTTAAGCTATTTTCGAATTTTATATGTTAGCCGCGTGAATTATTTGTGTTTATTTAAAATTGTATTGATCCAGAACGCAATCAAGTGCTTTGTGCTGCCATCTATGGACGATTGTAGATAAATTGCTCTCAAGCATCAATTGAAGAAAAATTCAAACTGATTTAAAGAAGAAGAAAAAAATAACTTATTACTTATTTGAACTTAGGCTAATTTAGAAAATTAATTTACTGCTTAAAATATATCATTCATTAAAATAAATATATTTTAAACATTTTATGAATCAAACAGTATTTACAAATTAAAGTTTTAGTCCTAAGTGGGGATTTTAATGCTACCGTAATGATAGTGCTATTTGGGTTTTTTATTAATTTGATTGTCTGATTGAATAAAATATTATTTATTGCGATTATCTTGGAAAGGTATGAGAAAATATGTTTTACATGCTTCATTATTGAAATAGGATTGTTATTAATACTCTTTATTAACATTTATTAATATGTCTTCGATATACTAATCATTAATAAGAAAAATTTATTTTATTAATAATACCTGTAAAGTGTAATCTCTTATAATTTAAATATTAGTTTGCTTTTTTTCCTCCTTTTTTTGTAGATGGAGTAAATGCATGCAAAAATATATAACAATGCACATTGCTTTGCAGATTTTCATTTTGATAATTTAAAACAAAATTTCACACTCAAGCAATTTTCTTTAAAAAGTGAACATTTTTAAAATCCCTTTCCCCACAAATGGGAAAAAAAAACTATTGAACGTGTAGAGAATTCATATTTTTCAATGGATGAAAGATAATTCATATTTCTCTATGGATGGTTCAGACATTTAATAACTTTTTTTTCATCTTCTAAATGTAAAACAGTCACTGTTTCCAATAATCTGATAATGATTTATTTACCTTTTTTAGGGTTGAGGCCATTTTCCAAAGGAGTTGCTGGTGTAGTTACAGGAGCAATATAACTTGGTGCAATTCCTCCAAAAGTCGTGCCACCAGGGTACCAAGGATTAGGCCTTGGCCACCCTTGACCATTGAGCATTCGTAACTTGTCGTATACGGCATCCTGGGCCTGTACTTGCGCTTGTTCTTTTTGCGCTGCCAGATTCCTAAGCACTCGGTTTATGGACGATACCTATCAAAATATAATTATAAATCAGTTTCAAATTTGATACGCATAATTTCACGCATTTAAACTATTAAACACAAAATGAATAAAAAATAGTAATAAACTATACGTATATGCCAAATTGTAATGTCATTTAGAAAAATTTGCTCTAACCAAATATAAGAATAAATGGGTTTTTTTACGACAATTTATTAGCACTAATATTAGGTATTATCAAACCGTTTAAGTTATTACAGCTAAAATAAATAATAATGATAATAATAATAAATAATAATAATAATTAATTAATAATAATAATAATTTAATAAACAATAATAATAATGAAAAAATAATGATTATAATTATAACGATATTANTTCAATAATAATAATGGAAAAAGAATGATTATAATTAGGCCGATATTATATACTAATTCAATTCCTATCAGATTTAAACCTCTGTCATTGTTAGTTCTATCATATCAATATCAACTCTCTCATAGTAATTATATATCGTATATACGACTCTATCATAGTTACTTAATTAAATCTTATATAGTAAAAAGTTTACTGTAAATTAAAAAAAAAAACATTTTAACAAATGATTAGCACATAATTATGAACCAATTGAAATGGTTTTAATTTAAATAAGAAGTATGACATCACAAAAGAACGGATCGAAATCATTGTTGTGCATTATTTTTATCATATCAAAATAGAATCATTATTTTATTAATGTTATGCTGTTGATGATAATATTTTTTATGTAGCTGCTGCCAGTTAGCTATTAAATGCAGTTGAGAACAAAAGAAAAAAAAACCGAAAATCGAATTTTATTTTATCCGATTTTCCAATTAATTCCGCAATTCCAATTAATAAAAAAAAAATTAAATAGAAAAAATGAAAAATAAAGCATTTTAGCGAATGAGTAACACGTAATTATGAATAGCTTTAATTTCAACAAGAAGTATGGCATCACAAAAGAACTGATTAAAATCATTGCGCATTAATTTTATCATATCAAAATTGAATCATTATTTTATCAACGTCATATTGTTAATGATATTTTTTATGGAGCTACTGCCAGATGTCCATTAAATGCAGTTGCGAACAAAACAAGCTGAAAACCGACTTAAGTCACACTGGCGTAAACACATTTAATCGAAGTACGGGTGACGTACATCGAAAAAATTTCAACGTAGCAGAAAAAAAAATTAGAAAAAAAAACACAAATATATCATCCGTATGTATGTTTGTGTACGTCAGCATAAAGCGTAAAATTTCTAACGATTTTCGTTCTTTGAATAAAAAAATGTTAAAGTGAAGGGAAAAAAAAGTTAAAATGTTTTAGAGGAGGAAAATTGTTATTTTTTTCCTTCTTAACTTCTTCGATTTTAGCTTTAGAGAAATTTTAGTGGATACCTATTTTTCAATTCCATTCACTATCATCGAAGCAGTCTGTTTTCCGACCGTTTTCACAATGACAATTCTTGCTAATTAAACACGCAGCAGAAAAGAAATGCAAAAAAAAGTTCTCTTCTTTTTTATATTCTATTATTATGCACTCTTTTCTCTCTTACGAGCATAAAAACTAGAAGAAAAAAAATAATAAAAAGAAACTTCGATCGGTAGAATCTTTTCTGCACATTTTCCTCCTCCTCTCTCTTTTTCTCTACGCTCTTTCATTAGTTTCTTTTTGTTTTAGTGTTTCATTATCGTCTGCTCTCTTTTTTTTAATTCGAACTTTCTACTACTATTGTTCTGTCGGTAACTCTTGGATCGCTTTCATTATCACTGTAAAAATAATAATGAGTAAAAAGGTAAGAGAAAAAAAAAATCTGACTGAAGGTAAGGAAAAAATAAAACTGAAAAAGAGAGAGAGAGAGAGAGAAAAGCATGCAGATAAAACAGCCGTATAAAAAGTTTTAAAAGAAGCGATGGCAGCATGTAAAAAAAGAAAGAAAAAACGAAAGGGAAAAAAAATCGTCTGCACCATAGCAGAATGTATGCAGGGTAGGAATAAAAAAAATTAAAAAGATTAGTGAAGGAAATTTTTCAGCCAATTAAAATTGCACTCGATATCACCATTTTGGGTTTAATTGTGTAAGCCTTGTTAGGCACGCTTAGACGCAGAAGATCATTGGCTGAATAGTCACAACTGCGTTCTCCTTTTTCAATCGCTTAATTCGTAGAGTGCTGATAAAGTCTCTACTCCTTATTATATACAAAAGAAACGGTTAAAAGGGAAGGAGAACGATATTGTTTAAAAGAAGAAGAAAAAAAAAGTATTCAACATGGTTGAGTCTGTTCCCCAGCTTCTTTTTACCTCTGTTTTAAAGAAGAAAAAAAATAATTTCTTTTATTTGAAAAAAAATTGATAAGAGTTGAAGGCTCAATTAAATGAGAGTTTTTGAATTATTTTTTGTCATTTAAAGAAAAGTGGTTGATCGGATCAGATTAATGCCCAATTCAATACTTCGAAATTAATGTTACTAAAGACAATTCACTTTCTTTTGCATTTCGAAACATTTTATATCTATTACAGATAAGAAAGATCGGAAATAAATAAATTCCAATGGATACGAATTCATATATAGACTTAGAAAAAAATTGCATAACAATAGAAATGCAACTGTTACATATTATTCATATTATGATTTGTTAATTAAAAGTCTCAAAAAACTGAACTCTGCTTGATGGCCCATACAGGGCCAAGGATACTGTACCCACATAATTTTCTTGACCTTGGCTCTGAGGTGCAGGAGTTGATGTTCGGGGAGGGTAGTCAACCGAACTCAGAACTCCCAGTTTTTAGTCCTCAAGAATGCTTGGTACTTAATTTTATCAACCCACCGAGAAGATAAGAGGCTGAGTCAACCTTATCCGGTCCGAGGATGGTACCCGAACCTGTAGCACGAGAGCGCTCAGCCACTGGGCCTCATTATTTTTACTCATTATTTATTTTTATTCATTGTTTATTTTTATTCATTACTTATTTTTATTCATTATTTATTTTTATTCATTATTTATTTTTTTACATAATTTATTTTTTAGCTTTATTTATTTATTTCAAGTTTCTCTTGAGTAACTTAGGAAAAAAAAACATAAAAATATTAATCATAACAGAATTTGCGATTTTAAAGGAATTTTACAAGAACTTTTTGAACATAACATCACATTTATTGATAATTATTTATTTCAATTATATCACTTAGTCGAAAAGGATATTTATTTTAATTTATCGTTATAACATAACTAACAAGAGTCTAACAAGAGAGTAGTTTTTAGTGTATTTCGATACTTTTTAACATAACAATTAAATTTATTTGTTTGATAAATAATAAAGTTGCGTCTTGTGTTCTTAAACCTCCTTTGCAGGGTGTTTATCAAAATAATAGTTATGATATTTTACCTCCAATAGCATTTATAGTAGATAATTGAAAGCTGTATTGAATGATAATAAAACGAATTCTTGTTTAATCTTTGAAAAATGAATTTTGCTGTAACTTATGAATATTGCCTGAAATGAATATGCCTGATGCTATGGAAGTGTACAAATGGATTATGCTTTGCTTGAATTTCAAATAAAATCAGATCAGGTAAAATCAAATAATTTTTGTTAAAAAAAAGTGTGACGTGTAAATAAGGTGTTGCGAACAAAGAGATTATTAAAGAGACAATTAATTTAAACCACAGTTGCGATTAAATTTTAAAAAGATAGCAGTGCATGGTAAATCTATCCATGGTATTGCCCAAAAATAACATTATGGAAAATTTGCGCGATATTATTTCAACCATACCAATATTGTGATCAGCGCAGAGCTGTCTTTTTTATGTTTGTCTTAGAAAAAACCACAATAAAATAATAATTGATCTAAAAGCTTTGTCAAACAAATAAGAAACATAAATATATAATGTTGAAATGAGTCTAATTGCTTTAATAATCAGCTACTGTTGCAAAATTAAATCATTTTATAATTTGCTGTTTTATTCCAATAGGCATATAATTGATGTGATTAAATTTCAGACATCATCTGGGAACCCTATTTTCGGTAAGTAATAGTCAATAACAGTTACCAAACTATGAAATTTTATAATTGCTCTACATTACTTACATCCAGCATGATTTAATTAAATTAAAATTTCAATTGCTCGCCAAAAGTTCATATTAGTAAGTCATTATAACATTTATGTAATTTAATATCACGTATAATCGTATTAGCGAATATCGGAACGCTAGGATCTCCCCATGCCTAATGATAAATAAAATTAAGTGATTTTATAATTATTTTTGTCAAAAAGGTGTCACTTCGATTAAATCTAATGTCAAAAATGAAACCAAGCACAAAATTAAATAATAGTTAATAACAGTTAAAAAACGATGACATTTAGTAATTGGGCTATCTTACTTACATCAACTTGTGATTTAATTAAATTAAGAATTCAATTGCAGAAATTAGATCGTTGATGTAAATAAGTCATTAAGACGATTATATATAATTAAATATTACATATAATCGTATTAAGGAGAATACTATGTTTCTCATTACTAGTCTCTCATTACTAAATTAACATAATTAATTGATTTTATAATCACTTTTGTCAAACAGGCGTCGCTTCGATTAAATCAAATCTCTAAAATAAAGCTAAATGTGGGTGCCAAGACGATTCCAGTTAAACGTTCTTAAAAAACAACTTTATGTTCAACACTTCAATGCGAGTGAAACGGTATCACTTGAATATAATGCATACTATTTTGCTTTTGACATATACATTACGGGTACAATCATCAAAAGAAAACGGGCAAGAGGATTGAAATAAGAAAAGGAAAGAAAAAAAAAGAGCAAAATTGTCAACAGGGGCTCTCCATCATCTAATATGAAGAAAGTGGGGAGGGGGTAGAAGTTAGAGGACAATGTTATTCGTTCCATGGTTGCTCTTTTTGTTCCTTTTCAATGAGAAAGAGAAACCAGAAGAAGTATCCTAAAAGAAATAGCTCAACCCCCACGCAACCCAAAACCAGAAAAA